CTGCGGACACCACCCGCCACTCATCAGCCATGGCCCACTGTAATCTAAAGAAGGAAACTGTGCCAGCGCAATCCGTCTCGCCAGAAGCTCTTGCTGCAAGGTTCCGGCGAATCCGGACTCTTGTGCGCCAGCGGGCGGGCTCGCCCGGCTGCTCGTGCAGCGTGCGCGGAAAGGCGCGAAACACACCCAGCGGAACTCACACCCGATTTCACGCACAGCGATAAGGCGTGAGGGTATATCGAATGCGCTTGAGTTCCGGCTGGCGTTATCGCCTGATTTATCTCGATCGTGACCGAGGTTGGTAGCACCATGCCCACGGCGTTGGTCACCCGATGGCGGTACGAACCTGTGGCGCTTACCAGTCGGGCCAGAGCGTCCGTTGGCGATACCATGCACCACGTGGTGACTCCCCGAGGTTCCGTTGGCAGTTGCATACAACACGCGGTGAATGTGTGCTTATGCTCAGGAGTCCACTGCGCACAAGCTGCACCGAACAACACATACTGAGCGTGGACGAGCGTTCGTCGACGGTGCCACTTTGGCTGCGCTCATTGGTTCCCTGGTGGTACCATGCAACACACGGTGACTGTGATAGAGAACCCGATGGTAGCAGCATACAATACAAAGTGACTATGCTCGGGGACATGTGGTGACTGCTTGGACATATCGTGGCTGTGCACGACATGTGTTGATTGCCTGACATGTGGTGCACTGTGCTCGACGGGGGGTGATTGCTTGACATGCGGTGACTGTGGTCGACATGTGGCGTACTGTGCTCGACATGTGGTGACTATTCTCGACGTGTGGTGACTATGTTCGACATGTGGTGACTATGCTCGACGTATGGTGACTATGTTCGACATGTGGTGACTGTGCCCGACATGTGGCAACTGTGCTCGACATGTGCTGACTGTGCTTGACATGTGGTGACTGTGCTCGACATGTGGTGACTGTGCTTGACATGTGGTGACTGTGCTCGACATGCGGTAACTGTGCTCGACATGTGGTGACTGTGCTTGACATGTGGTGACTATGCTCGACGTGTGGTGACAACCTGCACAGTCATGTGGTGACTGTGCTCACATGTGTATGTGCTCACACAGCACAGTCACCACATGGTATGTTCGACATGTGGTGACTGCTCGACATGTGGTAACTACTTGACATGTGGTGACTGTGCTTGACATGTGGTGACTGTGCTTGACATGTGGTGACTGTGCTTGACATGCGGTGAATGTGGTCGACATGTGGTGACTGTGCTCGACATGTGGTGACTATTCTAGACGTGTGGTGACTATGTTCAACATGTGGTGACTATGCTCGACGTATGGTGACTATGTTCGACATGTGGTGACTGTGCTCGACATGTGGCAACTGTGCTCGACATGTGGTGACTGTGCTTGACATGTGGTGACTGTGCCTGACATGTGGTGACCGTGCTCGACATGTGGTAACTGTGCTCGACATGTGGTAACTGTGCTCGACATGTGGTGACTGTGCTTGACATGTGGTGACTGTGCTCGACATGTGGTGACCGTGCTCAGCATGTGGTGACTGTGCTCGACATGTGGTGACTATCCTTGACATGTGGTGACTATGCTCGACGTGTGGTGACCACCTGCACAGTCGTGTGGTGACTGTGCTCACATGTGTATGCGCTCACACAGCACAGTCACCACGTGGTGTGTTCGACATGTGGTGACTGTGCTCGACATGTGGTAACTGCTTGACATGTGGTGACTGTGCTCGACATGTGCTAACTGCTTGACATGTGGTGACTGCGCTCGGGGATCCTCTGGCTGCATGGCTTGTAACGACTGTGTTCAGTGTGCCGTTGATGGCGTGCGTCGGCCAGCCGGGCGAGGTCAAATGGTCATGCCCTGGTCACGGTCACAGCCGAACGAAATGGTCGGTAGCTCAATAGGTCAACGCTGGAAATGGGAATTAGACGGGAGAGGTATTGCCCCATGACGCAGCACCACTGACCCCGAGTTAATCGAGCTGTACAACGTCCATTGCCCAGGCGCAGAGATGAGACGGGAACTGGGCGACATAGATGTCAAAAGTTATTAAGTGGAGTGAGAAAACATGACGCGGTGTTTTTATGTTTTACGGCTGCAAAGACGTGTCTTTCGGTTAATTCCCGTTCGTACGTCGACATAAAAAATAGCGATGCCAGCCGACGCTAACACAGCACGGTGGCGTTTGCTTCATTACTTGAACTTGAACTTTGGCCTTCGTGACGTCAAAAGAAGGTGATAATGTTCCAACACACATGTCAACAATGCCAGGCCAGAGCTCATGTAATGGCCAAATTAGTGAGAAGTGTTCTCAGCCCACGCCAGTGGGCTAACGGGTTGAGCTAATGCCGGTAGCGAACCTCACACTTGGAGGCCGTGCACCACAAAATATTCAGCAAAGCTTTGTTGGCTTAGACTTTGAGACTCACATGCCCGCAGAAAGAGGGAGAGACCGTTTAAGTCGTCCTTGCTTGCGAGTGCCTTTTCGTGGGCAACCCGATTTCTCCCTTAAGCTGCGCCTAAGTTACCTGCTCATGCACTAGGTACAGCACTATCCTGTCTAAGTCGCTGCCCTTCGTTCCTTTCCTTCAGTAAATTCAGTGACGAAGCTAGCAAAGACAATCCCTCGATGACGTCTGCCCTAGCCCCTTAATGTGACCCACTGTGGGAGTGACGACTCCCCGTCCGTGGCCTGTGCCGGTGAGGACGCGGTAGCTCGCCCGCCGCGCGGTTTTCGTCACCGTGAATGTCGCAAACGGCGACCAACGTTGAAAAACAAAAGTGGATTAGGATTCGAGGGGAGGACATTAGCCTGACGACAGCCAGAGCCGTCCTCGGGCGGCGTTACCGCACTGTTGTCGGCTGGGAACTCTTTGTCCTGAAATTTAATGCCGCCACGCTGAAATCAAGCGTGCGGGTCACGTGGTCGCGGGTCTCCGTTATTTTTACGGTCTGGCTAGCGCCTGCCCTAGAAGTCCTTATTGAGGCTAGAGGCAGCTTGCACAATGTCGGCGCCTCATCGAAGCTGCTTGCCTCGTGACGTCACGGGAAGGGGCGTGGGAAGCAGCACCTGGCACTCTTTTTTCTTCAGCTGGTTCTTCTCTCGTGGTACGGGGGACGCTTTTTGCTCGCTACAATGCGATCAGAAGGAAAAATGCAAGATTCATTGGGAAGGAATGCAAAGATTGTCGCCCTTAGGCCTGAGCCGCTTGGCCCAGCCAAACCGCTCCGCTACAGTGTCGTGCACTTGAAGCGGCCGACGGAGGCTACGACTGTCGCTGCAATGCTGAAGCACTGCATGCACACACAAATAGATATTTGTGTGTCAGGAAAAAGCAGTTAACCTATTTTAAGTGTGAAGAGACAACTTTTTCCATCCTGAGAGTGAGGGCAGATTATCCAAGCGTCCGCTCATGTCAGTAAATATGCGATACTCTTGAAAAAGCGCGGTGTACTAGCTGTAACAATTCTTATCGCACCTCCCCACGAGCCGTGGTGAGATTCGCACCTGGGTTTGCATAACTTAACAGGAGCTTTGGAGTTTGTGGCTCAGTGCTAGTCAAAGAGATGGCAGAGCGCTCGTTAACATTTCGCACACTGAGAAAAATATATGAAATTACAGTTTGAACATTGTTGTCTCTCACAAGGACAAGACACAACGGTAGCAGAACAGCGGGGAAGAGAACACCAGAGGAGACAACTGCAAAAATGAAGACAACGACGCTGCGAGAAAGGACAACAATGGCAGCAGGGGCGACGACTGGATCTTGATATTCTGATGACAGGGGTGGTAACAGGGATAGGAGACAATGGTGCTGAGGACAGTAACGGCGATAGAGCCGACGACGAAAAATGCGATAAGGGAGACATCAGATGACAGCGGTAAGGACGGCGAGGGAAAGGGGAGACAGCAGACGAAAGATCGGCACCAAAACGGGAGACAACAGCCGCAAACACGGCAACGGGGTCGGGAGAAAACAACAGCAGTGGCGATAACGGAGTCGGGAGACAACAGCGGCAGAGACAGTAACGGGGTAGAGAGACAACAGGGACAGAGGCGGTTACGGTATCGGAGACAACAGCGGTAGAGGTGGTAACGGGGTCGGAGGCAACAGCGGCAGGGGTGGTAACGGGGTCTAGGCAACAGCGGCAGGGGCGGTAACGGGGTCTGGAGATAATCAGCAACAGAAGTGGGCGGTAACGGACTTGGGAGACAACAGCAGCAGGGGCGGTAACGGGGTCGGGGACAACAGCGGCAGGGGCGTCGCCAGGCCGGACGGCGGACGGGCGCGTCGGCCGGCCTTGGCCCACGGCATGACGGGGCTGTTCGGCCGCCCATGACGGGTCAGCGGCGGCCGGCCGCGCGCGCGGGCCAGCACAACACAGCGTGACCGGCGCCGGGTGGATCGTGCGACCCAGAATCGCGCGAGCGCGGCCGGCCGCTGGCCGCGGCCCCAGGTCTGGGGAGCCGGTTCGCGTGTCCGTGTGACTCAGCTGGGCCGCACTGGTCGTCCATGAGGCACATACCGTTGAGATGTGCTGGCTTTTCGTGTGACGTTGCTCGGCTGTGTTGGGTGTTCGTGTGTCGCTGTCGTGATGCGTCACAGACTGCACCAGCAGCCGTCTTGCTGAAGTCCGTGCGCCGCCGTCACCATTGAACGGCGCGCACGTCCCACGCTTGCGTCCTGTCGACCGTCCATGTGCCACTTATGAGATTCTTCACGGGTGTCCCGGGGCCATTGTCCAGTCGCCCGCCCCCCCCCCCCCCTCCCCCGATCCTACCCCCCCAGTTCGCCGGCCGAGTGACGGCCGATCCGGCTCTGACTCGCGCCTCCATCGCAGGGTCCAGGATGCGGATGCTGGCGCTGCTGTCGCTGCTGCTGCTGGCCGAGCTCTGCTGGGCGCGCTCCGAGCGCCAGTTCCTGAAGAAGTGCCCGCGCGGCTTCGACCTCATGTACGACCGGCAGGCGCGCAAGCTGACCTGCGAGTGCAAGCGCAACCACCTCTATTGGAAGGAGACGGGCCTGTGCTATCCAGGAGTTCACGCAGGGCCCGTGCAAGGCCGGCAACCGAATCGTGCTGAACGCCACCAGCGGCGAGGTGGTGTGCCAATGCCCGACCTTCTGGTCACGCTACTCGGACGGCGAGTGTCACGAGGACTTCACGCGCGGCCCGTGCCCCGATGGCCAGCTGATCGTGTACGACGCCGAGCAGGACAGCGGCGTGTGCCGCTGCGACGCGTCCATGCTGATGCACTACTTCGCCGAGACGGGCAAGTGCTACCCCAAGTACAGCCAGGGCCCGTGCAAGGAGGGCCACATCGTTAAGTTCGACTACCGCAGCCTGGCGCCCAGCTGTGAGTGCCGCGACGGCTTTCAGAAGTGGGCCGACGGTCAGTGCTACGAGCTCAACACGGCCGGGCCGTGCGACCCGGCCGCCTGCGACGGCGCCGCCTGTCTCGTCCAGAGCCTGGAGACGCTGACCACCGAGTGCGTGTGCCTGCCGACCGGCGCGCGCACCGCCGACGGCCACTGCTACCAGCCGTACTCGCAGGGCCCGTGCGGCCCAGGCCAGTGGCTGGTGCTCGACAGCGACGGCGCCTCCGCCTGCCGCGCCAAGAAGCAGTGCACGCGCTTCGACAACTGGTTCTTCTGGCAGGGCACCGAGCGCTGCTACCGCCAGTACACGCAGGGCCCGTGCGAGCTGGGCCAGCTGTTCTTCATGGACCCGAGCACGGGCCAGCCGAGCTGCCGCTGCGAACCCGAGTGGAACGCCTACTACTGGCCGGCCGACGGCCGCTGCTACGAGCAGCACTCGGTCGGGCCCTGTGCCCAGGGCATGTTCTTCGGCTACAACTTCACCGAGAGCCGAGCGGAATGCAGCTGCTTCAAGAGCCACGTGCTGAACCCGGACGACGGCACGTGCCTGGAGCGGCACACGCGCGGCCCGTGCGCCGAGGGCGAGCTCATCCAGGCGGACGAGGCCGGTCTGCTGACGTGCCACTGCTCGAAGGAGCTCAGCTCGCACTACTGGGCCGCCGACGACAAGTGCTACGAGCACTTCAAGCGCGGTCCGTGCGAGGAGGGCGAGACCTTCCGGATCGACCACAGCACCGGCCGGCCGGCCTGCATAGTCTGGCAGGGCAAGTAGGCGCGCCCGGCGCCCGGCGGCGGGCCGAGGGCATGGCGTCGCCGGCTCCGGCGGTGACCCTGCCGCGGGCAGCCGAGGGGCCGCACCGGCCCAACGTGCCGATCAGAACGGTGCTCTCGTGCAGACTGAGGGCGGACTGAGGCGGTGGACGTTTGAGGTACGCCAGTGCGGACTTATGAGGTGCTACGTGAGCGACTGCGTGGACGTTGAAGTGTGACTGTATGTAAAGCGGCGTGTGTGAGAGCGAGGTGACCATGATTAAAGGCCATCGAGTAGGTTGATAATATATATATTCTAGTGTTACGGTAAGTGACGGATGGGCACGAGCGCGAAGTGGACATCCGTTAATTGTAAAGCAGACGTGTGCAGTTGCAGCCATCAGACTGTCCTTGCGCGCTCCGCCTGGACTGGGACAGACCGCCTGGACTTAAAGTGGCGTCTGAGAATGCTGTCTCTATGCGCATGCCACTGTATTTTTCTCAGTGCTTTGTCGCTTTGTGGTAAATAAAAGCTTACGCTACTCGACGTTTGTTTTACTTCCCCGCACCTCTAGTTTTGAGCTACACGCCCACGAGCGAGCAAACTCCTTCGTCGGACTATTTCAAGGGCATTCAGGCATGCATGACACCAGCTCGAGGTCATTCAAATCTACAGGTCAGTACACATACAGGTCAGGCCACTCCACATACAGGTCATGCGGCGTTCAAGGTAAAGAACTATGTTATTATCCAGCTGTTCAGATCTGGCGTCCGTGAAGACTATTTCCAAATAAGTAGACGTCAGTTGGCTCTCAAACAATATTGAGCAATCTGTGCAAGCTTTAATTATGAAACACGTTTTGTGCTACATCATGTAGGAAGTTGTACGTGTTTTTTCACTTGCTAGCTAGTACAGAAATAATACTTGCAATCAACTGGCTTACGAATTACGCCATAACCAAGTATGTGAACACAAATAAACGCATCAAGCTGACGGATACATTTGCAAGAACAGCACAAAAAGGGCCAACACACGAGCACATAACGATATTTTGCTTAGTGAACGCTTTTAGTTCATGCTGCCATCTCTGGCCGAGTTTGAAGCGAGTGCTTATTTCGCACGGATAGTTCGGCAGTACCTCAACGTCATGCGAATGTTCCATGACACAATCAAACAATGTCGTATTGAGAAGCATGTTAACTAAAAAGAGAGCTTGTGTTTTCTAGAGCAATTTTTTACTTAACAGTACATATTCCAGGCGCAAAGTACAGAGCTTATTACCTTTAAATGGCATGTTAAAAATTGGAAGATATTAAAACAAACGGCAGATACGATCTCTATTGTAACTATTGGTATACTTTCAAGTGGAAAAGACTGCTCTAGACAACATTTCTCTATTTAGTGAATAAAATCTTCAATATGTCATTGCTTGATTGTGCCATGGAACGTTTGTGTAATGTTGAGGTGCTCTTGATTAAGTGTACGAAATTGCGACTCTAGTACTCACCTGTATTTGAAACGCGCCGAGAGCTGGCAGTGGCGGCGGTGTACGCATTCGCTGAGCCAAATATCGTCTTGTGCTCGTGTTTAGCCCTTTCTCGTGGTGTTCTGGCATTTCATCTGAGAATTTAAGATGTGAACTAACATTCACGTACTTGGTCATATCGCTTTTCGTATGTTATTCTAATAAAAGTTGTATTTCCTTAATAACTGACGATTATGCTCAACTTCTTATCTTCCACAGCACGAAACGTGACCGGCGAGTGAAACCTGCACAGCTTGCACAACGTTGGTTGAAAGCCGATTCACGACCGCTATACCTGGAAACCGTGCTCCCGAATGCCAGATATGAACCGCGAGATATATCGACATATCGAGACAGATATATCGACATCTATGTTGTTGCTACCTTGACCGGTGCATGGCCCATTGGGTGGCAACATTTGAATCAGGATTTGAAAAGGATTTGTGGCAGAATTTGAATAACATCCGAACCTCCTATCCTCTGGCTTGCTTCATTTTGCATCCTCACAACACCCCGCTTGTCTGGAGCAGGCTGTATGCGCCAGCCACGAGTGGGCGGAGGGGATCCCCTGGATCGGGACCCCGACCGGGCGCTCGGCGCATAGCCCACAGAGCGGTCCTTGGGTGGGCTAAGGTTTGGTGGATGTGCACCGAGACGCATGTAGTTCTGCCCACCGTTATGCATTCTCCTTCATCATATAACCCTGAAATGATCAATATGATCAAAAGGGCTCTAATCTAGATATCCCAATCGTGATCGAAACTTGTACGGCCTGCTCAACATTAATCGAGAGCCAATTGTCGTCCAATAGACTCTGAATTTGTGCTCACGGACGTCAGATCTGAACGCTTCGATGATAATATTCTTCTTGATCTTGAACGCCACATGGCTTAAGGAGTAGCGGCATTTAAATGACGTTTGTATTACGCCAAACATGCCTAAACGGCCTTGAAATGATCAGAACGAAAGAATCCGCACATCTTCGCGAGCGGATAGCTCAGAAGCTTGTGGTTTTTAGGTCTTGAGAGCAGCGAGGCTGTGAACTGCACCACACTATATCCAAAATGTCAATTTCAGTTCAAGACTGTACAGATGTGGAACGCTCACTTTAATGCAGCTATTACGTACATCAACAGGTCGTGAAAAATTGTTATCACCCGAAGATTCGAGGTTGATACGTAAAACTGAACAGATCGAGAGTATGGGGTGCTGTGTTACGCTGTGTAAGACATCTTTGGTCCGCTTAACGGCGTTTTCAGTAATTTTCTTTTTACTTGTCTCCACTCTGCAAAAGGCTACCTTTCAACGCCATGTCTTTGCGAAGGATGCTGGACTCAAGAAGCCACACACAAGGTAGCTCTCAGTGAGAAAATTGCAGCACCTCCTTCAGATTCGTATCGCATCCATCTTTTGCTGGGCGTGCCCTTAACCCGCGAAGGAATCGGAGTCGACCATGACACCAGCCAAATCTCAGTCGATTCAAGGTAGGGTATGTATATTCGGTTCCTTTGAGCGTGACAGACTCATCTGACCTTCCCCAAGATGGGTGTGCACCGAATTCCGCATAGAGTCAATCGCATTGTTCTGAATTAGTGAGTCTCAAATATGAATTACATAACAGGGAATATTTCTACCTTGGCTGCTTTTATACACAAATGCGTGTGCAGCTGTTAGGGTTTTATCGAAGCAATTGACCAACACAGGGTCTTTGTAGCCGTAGACCTGTTTATATTTACAACTGCTGTCATCAAAGACGATTAAGTTGAATTCACCGGCGCACTTTTAAAAATGTGGTTCACAAATGAGTTGAAGGGTGTTCTAAACAGTGAGAAATGACCCAACCTACTCCTGAAATATGCCAACAAACAGGCTTCTTCGCAATTTTTTGTACTACCTTAAAGGTTGTGTTCCACATTTGTGTAGGGTTTTAAACTGAAATTACCGCCTTGAGGATCATTCGGTGCAGTATACAACTCTGTCCGTTTACTCTTCTAGCTTCTGAGCTACACGCCCGCGAATATATGCAGACTTTTTCGGGGGTGCTAATTCAAGGCCACCCAGGCGTTCTTGACGCCATATGCCATTCAAATCTTGCCATCCCTTTAGCTATGCGGCGATCAAGGTCGATCGAAATATATTTGTCGAGTCGATCATATCTGGCGCTCGTGAGCACAATTTCTTGAGATAACAGCCGTCAATCAGTGTTGTACAAGGTGCTCGTAATTATAGTGTTGTACAAATGACGTAATTAAACAATGGCGTATTTGAAACCGCATTTACTAATCAAATAATTGTCGTTGCCTACAGCAGTCTTTTCCACTCAAAAGTGTACCAATAGCTATGAGTGAGCTTATTTCATCTCACCTGATGCCTGCTTACCTCCAAATAGTCAACATTCCCTTCGACCCTCCCTCTGCTAGGCGGCCGATGCGACCCCTCTGCCCCCGAAATTATTTGATGATACCTCTCCGGCATGTCGTGCAATCGCGCCCAAGGTTCCAGGGTCAATCATATTTATACATATGATCGACCCATATGATCAGCCCATTGCGCATGTCTTTACACAAATAATCCCGTCCCTTACAATCCTAGTTTCGCAGCAGCGGTGATTTTTTTTCGGAAAACTGCTGGTCAATCTATGTATTCACAGTCATACATCATATATATATATATATATATATATATATATATATATATATATATATATATATGTACATGGTACAAACACATCAAACTATACACCATTGCATTCATCATTAAATAAGAAACAAGTCTGTTTTTTGTGCCGCTGCAAGGCATGGGCTCGTATGTATAAGATTGTAAAGCCAAAAAATGCGAATTCCGGTAAAATTAAGCCTTCGACTTGGTAAAATGGGGCTGATGTTTGACCAAGTAACATAAGGCTCACGACCAATCGCGATATCTCGCTAAAGCAGTGAAGTGATGTTTTCTGCTAAGTTTTATCTTTCTTAGCTTGGAGACGGTAGAGAATCGCATCGACCCACCTATCAGTCTGCGTTGTAAAAATGACCAGTCAGGGCGAGGGATAAACATGCATGACGTTTCAACTAGTTCATCAGCCTTCTTTCTCAAACCATACGGAACAAAGCTGCTTCATGTGATAAATGGCAGCAAATTTTTCCATCCTGGCGGCGAACGGAGATACTTAGGAGCAAACTCTAGATATCACTGGTACCAAGGCCCCGTTCTGTCGTTTATAAAGCCCTGGATCTTCTGGATGCCTGCTGACAGTCCCCTCAGCAGAAATTAATGGAGTTCAAGATTGCTACGCTACAGGTGTTGAGAGAGCTCAGTGGAGCATTGGGGGGGGGGGGGGGAGTTAGCATTGGGAGGGCTCAGGCCTCCGAAAGCACAAAAATGATGCTCCTGCGACTACAGATTTAGTACTTCGTTTCTCAGTAACTGAGTCAGCATTGCTTATTATGCTGTTGCCTTATAGGATATGACAAAATACACCAACTGCTCATGCGTCAGTCACGTGGCACCGTTCACCCGCATGAATTGCGCGATTGATGTAGAGTGAGTCTTCAAATAAGTGCCGGCACGTTCGAGTATGTGACAACAACCACTGCGGCTTACAGTGTTCAGAGAGTCATAATTTTGTGGAAGGCATTTCTGAACGATTCTGGTTTCGGAGACAGGGGTCCACTAGGTGCGCTCGTCAGCAGGGACAAACAGTGCAGCACCGTGCACCGCATGTGCCACACAGCGCGTGCAATGCGTGTCTAGATGTCACGGTTCAGCGCCCTGCGTCAAAAAGCAGACTGTGACTAAGGGCAAAGTTTTTCATCCCACCCTAGCGAAGTTGCGCAGAGGATTGCCGCCTTCCGCTATCACTGAGTACTGCTTGTGCTGAGCCACGAAATACATAACCGTTTTTCAGAAATAGATCAGTTTGTTTTCAGTTTAGTCCAAACGGCTTGCGGCTTGCACGTCCGATAATTCGCTTAGTTCAACCGGCTTGCGGAGAAACGCCCGGCCCAATGGCTCCCTAGAAA